ATCATTCAACCTCGATCGATCGATTCGGCCCGCTATTAATCCCTAACACAACAGCTGATGATTTCTCGGTATCGATACTTAAAATAACTATCCGTTCGAGGCATCCGTGGTATTGCCGTCGCAGAATTCGATACTCGTGATGCTAATGGATCCAATGTTTCGATAGAGACAACGATTGCACAAAATTCGTGACCGCACAACGTTCGTGCAAGCCTTGTTCATCGAGATGCACAACACCGGCCTTCCAAGTGGAACGAGTCAGCGTATCATCCGTGATATCTCGATTAATTCCTCTGTGGTTTCTCCACCTCGCATGGAGAATATATACAATTTTTTTTCCATATAAAGATCATCGTATAAATTAATATAAATGTAATAATATAATACATAGCGTGTTTCCTTTACAGTATATTAGAAAATAATGCGTGATTAAAATATGGAAAAGACGAAGTGGTAGAGATGAATGATTTTGTTTCCCGCGTAAAGAAATTTTTTCAAGAAATAATTATCGAAAACAACGAAGCATATAACATCGAAATGACTTTTTCAATTTCGAAGAATTGATGCTGATCGACCTTCAAAGAGATGGATTATATGGAAGGTTAAAGGGGAAGAGTTAAGAAGTTAAAGAAATTCGTTGAAAAGGTGGATAATTGGAGAGGGTATTTTTCACGTTGGAAGAGAAAAAGGTAAACGTGGAGTGAAAGAGGGAAGCGAAACGTGGATGTTGGGAATTTTCGTACGAGGAAGTGGCGTGCAGCCAAAAGGATTGGAGTTCCTTGCATTCTACGGATAACAGATTCGGCGAGTGTGAAATTCTCAACAATTGATTTCCGTTTCAAGCAAGATCGAGGGATATTTATAATATTTAATCAAGTGATTTTTTTTTTTAATGATTGAATAACGCTTCATTAAACATGCAATTCACGCGCGTGTATCAATGCACGTGTTGCACATGATTTTCACAATCACGTCAATTGATATCTGTTGACACGTTAACAAGTTGTTCCAATTAAAATGGATCAAACTATAATTGCAAAAATGCAATGTATCGTTGCAATTAAACATATCTTCGTATATATCTATTATACTTAAATATAATAACGCGTTGAAAATTTAAAATTGTGAAATCAAACGAAAAACATTCAGAATCTTTCCTATTTATCAATCTCTTCATTCCATAATTTATCCTCGTCCTATATCTTCTCAAACCTGAGTATACTCCTGAGAGGGAAGAATTCTAGTTTTCCAGGCACGTGTTAATTTCATCCCTTCGCGGCCACCCCGACGATTGGCATTCGATATTGGATTATTCGAACGTTTAGCGGTTTTCGCGCGTGCGAATTACGCCTTGCGGTCAATTGACGAGAGTCTATAGACCGCAACGCAATATTCTACAATCCCGAATAATATAAACGCAAATCGATCGATCCTAAATTTTATTCGAAACGATCGACAATCGAGAAATGTGTTTATTCGGTTTAACTTCGATCGGTGTAAAATTTTATTTTATCTCATTTTCTGCTTCTTCTGGTATTTGATATATAAATATATAATAATATATCGATAATGATGCAGCGAATATACCATATAGGCTAGTATATGTATGACGCCATATGTTTGTTCTTTCCAAGTCTCGTTACACGGGCGAGCCAACCCCATTCAATAGGGGTGTTCTTTCATTTGTGACGAACCAGTTTCATCCAGACTCAAGGGTGTTTCGACGTTACCCTCGAGACGTACGATAGCCTTCCCCTAACATAAATTGCAATCGTGTTTACCTCGAAAGTCCATCGAGGACTTCCATTTGCGAGAACCAGTTCATCGTTGTTTAATGGGTACAGTGTATTCGAGATAAAGTTTGAAATAAATGTGTGTTTAATAAAAATTGTCGAGTAAAAAATCGACACTTTCCTTCTCATAATTTAAAATTTCACGTACAACTCTCTTCCGTCGGATATTTTCTCTGTTAAACGTGACATAAAATATTTCGTAAAATTGATAGAAAAATATCGATAATATTTATATTGTATTATTTTTGAATTATTTATTTTCCTTTCTGCTATATATTGCGCGTGATCAAATTCGAGAATATATATAAAAGTCTTTCTATTGTTGGAGCGTCACGGTTACAGATTAATCACGCGAGACTGAGTTGGTGTCACACGATGCCAATACCAGGGGCACAGAAAGCTGACTAGCAAAAGTATCGATGGAATTCACTGTATCATCATTGGAACGATGACAAATCTGACAAATATGATATCGACAGTTTTTAGATCGTTTCAATTTTACATTGTTTCCGAATTTTTCCTTTCGAATTATAATCCTGAATTTTGTTTGATCCTGACTCACGGAATTGAGAACCACTGCATAGGAAGTGATTTTAAACGATTTTGAAAAAAAAGCTCCTTGATTATAGAACAATGCTTAAATTATGTTTTAAAAATTTTGATGTTCTTTCCAATAACGTGCAGAAATATTAATTTATTCTACGTACAAAGTATTGCAAACTGAATGAAACGGAGAGCAGCAAGATTATTTATTTTACCTAGTTATCAGTCTCTCACCTTTAGACTTTCAGCAATCCTATTGCACAAACGATGAAGATAGAATTCGACGAGGTTGAGGGA